CCAATTGTAAAAAAAAAATGTGTAACAAAAGTTGATATCACTCCAGAAAAAATTATAATAAGGAGGATGGGAAGGGACTTTTTCCACCGTGTAGAAGGAATGTGGATAAGGTCTATAAAATTAATTTCCTCTTTCTTACTAACAGTACCTTCTGAGCAATTCAGATAAATAGCAACATTCATTCTTCTCTGCATCAAAAATAATTAAAAAAAAAAAAAGAGGAACTTTATGGCTCACGTATTCCTGCAATTATCTTGAGAATCCTTTTTTGTTGACAGCCAGGGGTCAAAAGCCGGTCTTGGTTTCACCTGATCTCATTGACTTCTGCAGAGACATTCCAGATTCACGCCAACACAAGAGCTACCAGAGCTGAGCTGGGGACACACAATGCTGCCATTCACGTCAGGAAGATGTTCGGCTCATGGAAAATCACTTCTCTTTCTGGTGACATAAGAGAGAAGAAAAGGACAGTGCATGAAAATGGGTTTACACGTACGGTACGAATTCCAGATCAAAATGCTCTGAATATAAACTGTGCTCCAGATCAATGTTTTTCTCCTACAGAAATAAATTGGGAGACTCGGATGTTTAAGTGTAAATGTAAGTGTGGGGAATGAACTTCTGGTGCTCTTCGAAATTTCCAGGGCATCCAAAAGCTGGAGTCACTGGATGATTCAGGCCAGTGAATTTTACCTGCCTGTCACCTTCCTGAACATCCATTTTGTAACATCTTTGATTTTTACTCAACAGCAACTGGGCAGTGAGGATCCCTGACTCTGAGGGCATTAACAAATAGTTGAAGGTCACCATTCAGCATCAGTTATTCCAATAGGAGCTGCTTCCAGGAGCTGCAGAGGGTCTCCAAGACTCATGTTGGCCCTTGTTGTACCTACTGAATGGTACAGATCTATTGCATATGGGGAGAGCTTCTGACTCTGTCCAAGTCCCTGAAAGGAGGGTGGAGAGAGGTGGGGGTGGGTCTGTTCAACCAAGGACCAAGGGACAGGACAAGAGGAAATGGGCTCCAGTTGAGCCAAGGCAGGTTCAGATTGGATATCAGGAAAAATTCCTTCACTGAAAGGGTTCTCAGGCACTGGAAGGGGCTGTCTAGGGAGGTGGTGGAGTCCCCATCCCTGGAGGGATTTAAAAGACGGGCAGATGAGGTGCTCAGAGATCTGGTTTAGCAGTGGACAGGTACAGTTGGACTCAATGATCTCAAAGGTCTTTTACAACCAAACAATTCCACGATTCTACGATTTTGTTTCTGCAAATATTAGTAAAAGCTGACATGGTTTTGCAAAGCTTGCAGACAGTAAAAAAAAACAAGTGGCAAGTAAATATGGCTGAAAGCAATGGATTTAAAATCTGTGTATTTTGGATGTGCATTTCCTTGAGGCAGCGGCCAGGCTGGCCCGGGAGCCCCACAGCCACCCAGAGCTCCTGCAGCAGAAGAACATGTCCCTGCACAAACACCCTGCAACTCTCAGTCACCCCAAGGACATGGCCCTGTGAAGTCAGGGTTGGTACAACACACTGGGGGAAGAAGGAAAAGGGTAGAGGGGAGAGATTGGTGATGTTCCCCAAGACCACACTGGGGTGAGGTTCCCCAAGACCATCCTGCTGGGTGCACAGACCCTACTGTGCTCTCCCAGGAGCCAGAGAAATTCAAAGAATCCCAGACTGGTTTGGGTTGGAAGCGACCTTAAAGCTCATCCAGTTCCAACGCCCCTGCCAGCAGCAGGGACACCTTCTACTAGACCAGGTTGCTCAAAGCCTCATCCAGCCTGGCCTTGAACACTTCCAGGGAGGAGCAGCCACAGCTTCTCTGGACAACCTGGGACACTGTCTCACCACCCTCACAGCCAAGAATTTCTTCCTCACATCTCAGCTCCATCTCCCCTCTGCCACTTTCAAGCCATCACCCCTTGTTCTGTCACTCCCTGCCCTTGGCCAAAGTCCCTCCCCAGCCTTCCTGGAGCCCCTTCAGGTACTGGGAGGCCACTAGAAGGTCTCCCTGGAGCCTTCTCTTCTCCAGGCTGAACAGCCCCAACTCTCTCAGCCTGTCCTCATAGCAGAGGTGCTCCAGTCCTCTGCTCTGGACTCACTCCAACAGGTCTAGATCCTTCTTGCATTGGGGTCTCCAGAGAAATGGCCCATTTTGGTGCAATTTTTAATTTCAATATTTTGTTTGACTTCCAACACCTTCACATACAGATATTTCAACTCTGTTTTCAAGATGAACCCAGCTACCAGTGAAGTCAGGGTAAGCCTTGCTATTAAACATCAAGAAGGACAGTGCAGTTGAGAATTTAAATTCCCATCTCACCTTTTTTTTCCCCCCCCTCTTATTTTTCCCCCCCAAAGTGCGTGACTTCGGCGTGGAAGCCCTACCTCAGCAGAGCAGGCAAAGCCAAAACACATCTATTTTTCCAACATTGAGTTAGGATAAGACTCGAAACTTGCATTGTAACTGGAGGGAGGGGAAAACCGAGGAAAGAAAAGCTCTTCTGAAAGTTCTTCTGCAGCTTTGGCTTCGAGCGTAATAAAGTCATTTTGCCAGCAGTTTTGTAAATGAGCGCAGAGAAAATGGTGTCCAGTTACAGCCACTCTGGCAAGATAGCTCTTGGCAGATACTGCAAACAGCAGATTTGCATTGGGACTCTGTTGTTCAGACTTTCTTAATGTTCTTGAGCTTCATTAATTGTCATCACATTTCTTTTCTCCTCCCTACATTAAAACAGTTTCCACAGGGCTGCACTGCAACCAAGTCCTGAGTGTGTTTCTCAGGCAAAGGTGGTTGTATTTCCTTCATCCCAACCCTTTTCCTCTCAATTAGGACCCAGCCTGAAAAATCTTGCACCAGTTTGTTTGAACTGATGAAACCAAACTACAACTTAGTTTATATAAGAAAAAAAAAAAATAAAAAAGAAAAATTAAAAATAAAATCACAAATGTAGCTATTTTAATGACTGTATTGAAAAAAACTAACCACTACACACACCATATAATTTTGTTGCTATCGTAATTAAGAGGTATTTACACGGGCTCACCAACCAGAAAACAGAATTTCTTACTGTAAAATTCCTACGTGCTGTACAGAACAAAATGAACTTGGTCTAAAAAACCATGCAGCCTGACCTCACAAACCCTTCCTCATGTGAGCAGTCTCAATGAAATCCTGTGAAATCCTTGGGATTACAGGCATGGAAATACACTTCTTGAGGAAGTAAAAGGGGGGGAAAAAAAAATTAAAATCTTATATTAAGACATCATTTAAGTACAGAGAAAGGGAGCAAGAAAAAAAAAAAAAACAACTAAAGCAATGTATTAGAACAGAAAAAACCTTGATCAAAATCTTTTCCTCCGAAAATCTCTTTCAAAGCTGTTCTCCGCGTTTCTTTGCAGCACAGAAATAGGCTCCAGCAGAAAGAAAACATAACACGTCCTTGATAAAAAGCCATTTTTAATTTTATCAAATCGATCTGTACAAAAGTTAGCATTGCTTAGTCAGAAGCTAGTGAAGAGAACAGATAAGTAACAGCCAAAGTCTTTCCAACTTTATACAGAAAAATAGATTGCATAAAAAGGAGTTTTCTGTATTCTCCCCCCAACCCCCACGTCCCCCAAAAAGGAAATATGCACAAAAATATTTTTTTAGAAAAAAAAAAAAAAAAAAAAGTAGGAAACGTAGAAAAGGTAAAAAGATGATAACCTCTGAAATGTGTTTTTAGATTTACAAAGTTTTTAAAGGCACAAGTTACCATAAAATAGATGGTTATTATATGCTCAGCATACAATGGAAAAAAAGTAGAAATATATCAATGAAATATTAGTCTAAAACTAAGTACCTAAAAATTTATTTATTTTTTTTTTTTAGTGGAGAAGATTTTTAGTTTCACAGCTTGATGGATGATATCTGGTCCCTAGAAGCCAAAATTAAAGCAGAAGTTGATCATTTCTCATTAAATTACATCTCCCTAGAAAGTAGTCCTGGTTCTGAAAGCGTACAAAGACTCTGCAATGCCTTAAATCCAATTTTAACACCCAAAAAGCAGGGAGCCAAAAAAAACCTCCTGCTCCTTTTTTTTTTTTTTTGCAATTGTTTTAACCTCCCAATTTAATTAGTAACTTTTCCCCCCCCCCTCGTTATTTTACATTCCTGTTTGAGTTTCCTGCTGGTGACCAGGTCTGCGATGGGCAGATTCCTTCAGTCCCTCTCTCAAACACAACTGCTGCCAACGGTTCAAAACGAACAAAAACCCCCCAAAACCAACCAAAAAAATCTATAGACTCGTAACACCATTTTATTGTTTCATCTCCACTATTTTTATGCTCCCACCCCATCTTTTAAAATCTTTTAAAAATTCTACTTTTTGCACAAAATTACTTCATTAATTAAAAGACAAAATAATACAGAACATAAATACATATTTAACAGATTTAAAAAAAAAAAAACAAACCCAAAAACAACAAAACAAAACCAACACTTTAAGCTTCCAAAAAAAAAAAACCCAAAACAAAATGTTAATTACAGCCAAACCTTGTTTAGAAGAACTCTTGACTAAAAAAAAAAAAACCAAATACTTCAGACATTTAATTGGTTGGTCCCACCAGACTCGTTTGTTCCCACGAGATGGTTCCACGGAATAGCCGGGTTTTCAGGTTTCATCCACCTTGGTCCCACTGAGTTCTTGCCCTCAAGGTTGGTCCGTTCCTCACATTGCAATAGACCCTTTAAAGTCTCAAAAAAAAAACAGCTTTTTGCTTTTTTTTCCTTGTGTCTCCCCCCCTCATTTCCCACCCCCCTGCTCCACTTTTGCACTTGTCAACTTCCACGACGAGTTCAGTTCAGTTCAGTCCTCACAGAGGAGTCGAATGGTTTTGTCCTTCATTTAATTCAAAAGGAATCGCCGGTCCTTTATTTTTTTAATTTTTTTTTTTTGCCTTTTTATATAATTTTTTTTAATTATTATTTTTGCTTTTTTTATGTTTTTTTTTTAAATTGTATTAATTAAAGAAAAATAGAGCTCTGTCCTTTTGGAGAGTTTTGAAGCAAAAGGGGACATCCAGTCGTAACGAGTAGAGTTCCCAGTGGCTCAGGAGGCACTTTGGAAACTATCACCGGCGCTCTACGCTCTTCATCTTCATTCCTTCATTAGTGCACACGTTGAGGAAACCCTCGGGGGGCTCCACGCATCCTTTAAGGCCTCGTCAGGGTCGTATAGACCGGTTGGTCCCAGTTAGCAGTTGGGCTGTGGGCTGGTGGGATGGACAAACCATTGAGGATGGGTGTCGCGTAAGGACGACGGGAAGAGTGGAAATAGGGATACTGGTAAATGCTGGAGGGGTAACCAGGGTAGGGGTTGTAGTAGTTGGAGCTCTGGAGGTCCGTGTAGTCACACTGGGAGCTGGAGAAGGAGGTGGCGGCCGTGGCGGTGGAGGCGGTGGTGGCACAAGCCTGGGCGCTGTAGGAGCCGTAGTCGGAGTGTGCCGGGGAGCCGTGGGACTGGTCACTGTAGTGGCTGGGGCTCAGCTGCTCCGTTTTGATGTGTGGCCTTTGCTGGCCCGAGTCAGCAGATGATGGTGATGCTGAGGATGGGCTTTTGTGAGTCCACACCTGGTTGGTTCCACCGGTGCCCGTGGCCGAGTGGGAGTAGGACGTGCCGTAAGAGCCCGCAGCGGCATTGGGGCCGTGGTCGGCTGGCATGGCAGCATGGCCATTGAGCGGCAGATACTGGTCAAACTCGTGCACGTCGAAGGTCTCCATGTTGTTGATGACCTCGCTGCTCAGCTCCGAGATGTCCACGTTGCTGAAGTCAATGTTCTGGCGGCCGCTCTCCACGAGGCGGCGGCCCTCGTGCTTCAGCTCCTGCTTGCTGCTGTGGTGGAGGTCCGTTTTGGGGGTGGTGGGTGGGGTGGGTGGCCCATGGGTCTGGCCTAGGGATGAAGGGACAGTAAAGCTTTACGAAGAGCACCCACAAAACAGACTCCTTTAAGAAGTATATAAAAAAAGCACATTTCTCCCCCTTCTTATTTCAAGAGGAAAAGGAGGATTTAAATCTACAGCCCCATGTTGGAGGTAGCTGATGTCCCTCTGAGACCATTCCAGGGACCATGTCCTTGGCTGGGGTAAACCTCCCACATGGGTGATGGTTCACAGCGGGGAGGAGAAGCCAGGGAATGTGCTGTGCCCATCGGGATCACTCTGGGACACAATAGGACAACCTCAGCCACACAAACTCCCCGTCACCTGGGAAGCAGAACCAGGGGGTGGATTTGGAGGGACCTGCTCAGCCTCTCCCCAAGGGCAGCTCGAAGCCAGCCCAGCTCTCCCAGAGGCAGAGAAGCCATCCCAGCAGAACGGGCCGGGATCTCCAGCCAGGCTGGGCGAGAGCACAGACGCGTCTGAAGCTGCAGGACGTTCGCAATCCTCCTGGAATCTGTCAACACGCGCCCCGTGCCAATTTGCAGTGCCGCCGAGAAGCGGGGAGCTTCGAGGGGAAGCCGAGCCTCCAGGACCTGCTCCCCCAAGCACCCTTTGCATGGCCAACTGATTATTAACCCTTTTTAGCTCACAATTAATCCTCCTCGCTCCTGGGCCAGCCAGGAACCCAGGGTCCCTGTACTTTGGGGATTTCCTATCGCACCACCAGCTCTATAAGCATTTACTAAAGAAAACTGTGGCCACGATCACAACCTCGTGCAAAACCACAGCTCTTGGGGCAACGACTCTGCTTTTGGATGGTCCCAATCCCACCAATATTCATCTCCAGAGCAGATGAGCCAGATCCCGCCAGCGGGTTCATGTACCAAACCAACACACCTGGGATCTGCAGGGTTTTGGGGTTGTTTTTTCACCCAGGGGGTCCTTTACCTGTGTGATCACCGTGGTGGTGGGACTCAGCCATGCCTCCCAGCCCGCTGTCCGCTTTGTAGATCTGCGTGCCCGCGTGGTGACTGAGCTCAGCTCCCGAGTCGGAGTCGCTCTGCCCGGCTTTGACACTTTTCCTCCTCCGTGGCTGGTATTTATAATCCGGGTGATCCTTTTTGTGCTGGACCCTGAGCCTCTCAGCTTCTTCTACAAAGGGACGTTTCTCATTTTCGCTTAACAAACTGGTTTGGGATGGATTGATTTTTTTTTTTATTTTTTTTTTTTTTAAATAAGGAGGAAAGGAAAAAAAATAATCCAAAATTAACATCTTTTCCTTAGAAGTTTTCAGCTTATTGTCAAACTCATATCCCCGCTTCCCATACACTGATTTGAGCAACCAGAAAGTTAATTACAACATGAATTTGCCATGGCAAAAAGAGCTAAACTATGTTGCAAAAATGTATTAAAATGGCACAAAAAGACACCAACCACTATAGACACTGATAACCAGGCAAACCAAAATCCCCCTGCCCCATTTTAAACACTTTTGTCTAATATTATTCCAATGTTTGTCCTATAAATGTCACCCCCTCACCGCGACAAACACCGCTGCCCATTTCCAGCTTTGTTTGGTGCTTACAAAGAAACCACGAAGGCAACAGCGGTGGGATTAGTTCTTTTCAAAACTCTTCAAAAACCACCCAGACCCTTTTTTTTTTGTTTTTGGTAAAACTCTTGGAGAGTTTCAAACCACGGCAGGAGCACATGGTTGGCCCAAACAAGCAGGAAAGATGTTCAGTTTGGTAAAGCCAGACATGACCCAATCTACCACGCGGTAAAACGTGGCTCGTGGCAGAGCCTGGGAAAGCAAAGCACAGACTGATACAGCTCAGCAAAAAAAAAAGTTTGGAAGTTTGGTGAGTGTGGAAGCAGGCAGATAAGGAGGGAAACAACTCCAGATTTAAAGAAGAGATTTAAATAACTGCTAAAAATCAGCTGGTTGGGTTTTACAGCTTGTGAAGCAGCAAGGAAAAAAAAATTGTTAGGAAAAAGTCGTTGTAAAATAACCCACAATTTTTTAAAAGTCTCCATCTCTTGTAGACAGGGACATGGGAAAACCTGTCCAGGAGAGGAAAGGACTTGGGCTGTGGATCTTGGTGATAAAACATGGAAAATCCACACATCCTGCTAGGGC